TGTGCACACCTCAATAGGTATTCCATACCGTGCAAAGATTGCACTGAGCTTTGTCACAACTGTGGCTGATTTTGTGTTATGTAGAAGCTGCACCTCAGGAAAGTTGGATAAAGCATCAAAAACGCACAAGTATGATTTTCTTGCCCACTGAAAACTGTCGACACCTACATGGTATTATGCATGTTCTGGCAGTGCGCGCTTCACGGTTCACTTTGCTGCTGATAAACGTACTTCTGACAAACTGGGCATCTTCTGATAAATGCTTCAATGTCCGTATTAAGACCCTGCCAGAACAGTAACCTACACGCTCGAGATTTAAATTTATTTACTCCCAAGTGGCATTCGTTATTTCTTCGCAGTAACTCAGGACGCATGCTAGGTGGTATCACTGCTTTACATCCCTTAAGCAACACACCACTCACAACTAATTGACTTTCTAAGGGTTTTAGTGTCCCACAGACTGGCCTATTGCATTCCAGACAATTAATCACTTGGCTCAAGCAGTAGTTCTTGCTAGTTTTTTGAGCCAAACACTTCAATGTTGCTTCGCTGACCAGTGATGAAAGAACACTTACCGCTTGAACTTCTACGTCATCATTTGTGTTTTCTTCTGGCTTTTCCACAGACATCCAAGACAGCATGCCGGCGACAACCAAACATTTTCTAAAGCAAAGTGGAGCATGTAGTGGTACTTAAGTAAGCGAAGAAAAAATCGTTGTAATCTGGGTGGCTTTCCTTCTACGGCTTCTCAGACACTGCTATCAAGGGTCAGGGGTCGGTCTCGAGGGTAATGTTACGCCTGTATACGAAATGGTGAAACTTTTCGCACCCAAAGACAACAGCCTCTTTTTCTATCTGAAAGTACCCTCGTTGCACTTCTGTTAAGACGCGCGAGACATAAGCAATTGGCTTCTACGAACCCTCAGAGCATTGTCAGAGAGCGGCGCTTATTTCATTTTGCGAAGGATCTGATTTTTCCTCTGAATCTTTTTAGGATCAAAAATCGCCAGCACTAGACCTTTGCTCAAACTGTCACAAATCATTTTCCATTCTTTAGAGTGGTTTTCTGTCTGCTGAAAGATGCGATCTTTTTCTATCAAGTCGCAAAGCAGTTTCGTTCAGTCTGTGAGCGATGGCAGGAACTTGGCAAAAAAGTTTTACGACACCTAGCAGACGCTGCACAGCTTGTTCATCTTTCAGTAGTGTTATACTTAGCAGAGAACAGACCAAGGTAGGATTTGGGTGTATGTCTTCTGCTGTCACCAAGAGAAAAAATCTTGCTCTCGCCATTGATGCATTTGTCTTCATTAAACGTTAGACCAGGTTTCTGTGTCGCTTTCATTTCTGCTCATAACGTCTCATCGTGCTCTTGTCTTGTGGTACCCCACATGATGATGTCATCGATGTATACTCGCACTCCTGGCAGTGTCTCGAAGATTTCACTGATAGTCTTTCGAGACACTTCTGGGCGGAGTCTATGCTGAAGGGCAGCCTCAAAAAGCGGTAACGACCGAAAGGAGTGGCGAACGGAGAAACTCTTGACATTTCCTTATGCAGCGGTATCTGATGAAACCCTGAGTTGGCATCAAGGCGCGAAAAGAAACGTGCTCCCGCTAATTCAGATTCAATATCTTCTCTACGCAACATCTCGTAATGCTCGCTCTTCAGACAGTTATTAATTTTCCTCGGGTCCATGCATAACCTTTGCTTGCCGTCTTTTTTTCTGATACTAACCAGAGGACTTACCCAGTCCGTCGGCTGGTCTTGCTTGTCTATAATGCCGGCTTTGACCATGCGGTCAAGTTCTTCGCGCAGAGGCTCTCGTAAGGCAAGGGGCAAACGGCGGGTTGCTGGACAACTGGGACAGCGTCTTCTCGAAAAACCATGGTGTATGAGCGGTTGATACATCTAGTCCCAGAAAAAAAGGCGTCGATACTGCTGGACAACTTCCTTGCTGCTGATTATTCCAACATCATTCATTAGCGGTGTGCAAGAATAGTTCGAGCAGCTCACTCGCTTGCAGTCCTAATATGGCCTGCCGATCCTTCTTCACGAGGAAGAAATCAATCTTTGCCGTTTTGCTTCCGACTGTCACCATAGTGCAAAGATGTTTGTTGACTCCTTTGGCGTAAGATCGCAGGATACAGTTATTTCTAGCCAAGGGTATTCTTATTTGCAGCTTTCTGTATGCCGAGACATGCATGAGATTGGCTTGCGATCCTGTGTCAACTTTCAAGTCCAGTGTCATGCCTGAAACTTGCGCTCTCACCACCCAGTCACAGTCACCTGCTCTTCGAACGCTGTTGACGCCGATGTCCAAAATGCCAAATTCCGCATCGGTATCCTCGGTGCTCCGTACTTCCTGGACTTGTCTGCTTGCCTTGCATTGTACAGCGAAATGATTCTAGCCTTGGCATTTTTCCAATGTTTTGCGAAATGCAGGGCAGCTTCGTGGACCGTGTACACGCCCACACTTGCGGCACTTGAACGTTGCCGGCTGTTCCTCGTATTCATCATCATCATCATCATTTATTTTTCCCTTAAAGGCCCCTCTCGAGGTATTACATAAGGGGGGGGAGGTTACATAAAGAGTTACAAAACATATCGGATCACAATACTGAAACATAACACATAGAAATGCAGACTTATTTAAAAGCAAAAAAAAAATGTTACAATTTGAATCAGGCATATAAAGGCGAAAAGCAAGAACAGTGTAAAAGAATTTTACAGCGTAAGATGATCAGTGAGCAACTGCTTAAACGCAATAGGGTTTCGCTCAACGACAACACAGTCTGGCAAAGTGTTCCATTCTGCAATGGCTGTTGGCAAAAAAGATTGACTAAAAGAAGACGTAGAACCGTGCAAACGCTGGACGCTGCACGAGTTAAAAAGGTGACAAGATGTACGGCTTGGCGGGATAAAGAGTTTACCGTGAAGATGTTATGCGAAATGTCGTTTTACAGCATCAATCTGTTTCGGTTCTTGTGACCAAATCTCATTTTGGGTGGCCGACATCTCCGTAGCCTTGCAGACTTCTTCCGCTTTACCCAAAGTTGACTTTTTATATTGCAGCAACTTTTGTCTGACTTTGTCATCCTTCGTTCCAAATACTATTTGGTCACGAATGAATGAGTCTGCTATCGTGCCAAAATTTCAGAAGCGAGACATCTTTCTGTGCTCTCTGATAAACTGGCTCACCCTGAGCTTGGATGCGTTTCTGGAATATGCAGTGCTCATGCACTTCATTCAGGTGTTCGGCACATTAAGTGTGGAACTTAGCAATGACAGCTGCATAACTTTCTCTGCTCTTGTCGTCCTTAAAGGTGAAATTGGAAAGTTCTAAGGCATCATCACCTGCCAGAGTTGGCAATAAGGCGATCTTTGTAGCATCCTGTCTAGGCATTTTATCTGCTGCAGAAGCAGCCAAGCAAAGTTTGAACTTTTGTTTCGAAAGGTTCCACTGCTTACTAATTTCGATGACAAAATGCAGCGACTCTGGTGGCTTCACAAGGTTCATGATTCTGCTTTACCGTGCACAAGCACGGTGGCTGTGCACGCCTATCGATGTTCCTGATCTGTTACGGTTGCTTCAGTTCTGCTTAGAGAACACCTACTTTATATTCAGGAGCAAATACTACAAGCAGGTGCATGGCACTGCAATGGGATCTTCTGTGTCCGTCACTGTCGCAAACCTTACCATGGAGGCTGTTGAAAACCGGGCTCTTACTTCATTTGCTGCCCCGCCAAAGACCTTCCTTCGATATGTGGATGATTGTTTCTGTGTTTTGCAACGAGATGCCCTGCCAGTATTCTTGAAATAGCTAAATTCTGTGGAGGCCGCGATACAGTTTACCGTGAAAGAAGAATCACTTTCAGCGTCTACAGAAAAAAAACACACGCCGGTCGTTTTCTAAGTTTCAATTCTCACCCATCCTGCCATAAACGTTCTGTTGTGTCTACACTCGTAAAGCGTGCTTGGAGGATTCGTTCGAAGGAAGAAGACACAGTAGAAGATGTAGAGTCCATTCAACGGGAGCTGGCTACTTGCAGATACCCGCTTTCCTACATGAACTCGGTGCAGCGACAACTGCAGCGCCCGGCTCTGTCACACACCATTGCTACAAGAAAACACGCATCGGTGCCTTATGTTTCAGGCTTCAACGAGATCCTCGCTCGATTATTGCGCGGCTACGACGTCCAAGTGGCTCACGTTCGGACAAGAAAGCTCTGAGGCCGTCTCACAAATGTCAAAGATAAGTTGGACAGACATGATTTTTCCCGCGTGGTGTATAAAACTCCTTGCAAAGACTGTGAATACGGATACATTGGTGAAACGGGCAATTACAAAAGAAGGCTCCGGGAACATTTTAATGACATCAAGAACGAGAAAGTAGCTTCTAATGCCCTCGCAGAACATGTTGCGTCTACTGGGCACGTTATCGACTGGGATAAAGCCTGCATCATTGCCACGGAAAGAAAGTTGTTACCATGGTTGCACATGGAATCTCTGGCCACTCAAACTACTGCGCATATGTTGAACAGAAATATTGGGACACTCCCTTCTGTGTACGCGCGATGTCTGCAACACGTGATGAAACGTGCATAAAAAGAGCGCACTATGCCATTTGCGGTCACTGTGAACAAGGCTTCTGTGTGGGGAGCCGAAACGTCTTTTTAACTTTTGTGTATTTCACCTTGGTCGGCGTTCTTGTTATTTGCACTGTGGCTGTGTCTTCTCGTTCTGACACCGTGTATCGGTTGCTGTACCGACTGAGTGACAACCGTGACTAGTTTTCAGCAGACAGGTAAAAAGCATCCAGCCTTTATTCACACACATGTTATGCCCGGCAGGGGACAAGGCACACAAGGGGTGAGCATGCGCCGACGATGGTGCTTGCAGGTGTGCATCACTTCAGCTTATCTACCTGATACAGCTACCTCCCTAATTGTGCTGGTGGTCTCTTCTTGTAGCTCTAATTTTCAATATGCATGGGATCCAGGTCCGCTATCGCGAACTGGAACAGCTGAAAGAGTCGGCCGAACGGGCCTTCGACATGGGCCGGCCCATCTGCGTGGTGGCTGCGGGTGAGACGACTGTGCACGTGACGGGCTCTGGCAAAGGGGGTCGCTGCCAGGAGCTGGCTCTGGCGGCCGCTATTGAGCTCAATCGACTCTTCAACCACGCCGAGCTGCAGCATGCTGAGCTCGTGGTACTGGCAGCAGGTAGGTGGTCACACAAGTAAAACAACATAGCTCTTATTGTGAAAAGATGCCAGCCAAAAAATAACAATTGTAGAACATTTATGGCAGTGCTGCCTTTTGCAGAATGCCACAATGCTGATAACATCGAGAACGTATGCTCTTTTTTTTGCACTCTTGTTGAGCAATGGCAACAAGATGTTATTAACTTATTATGCTTTGAAGCCTAATTAAACATTGTCAGGGAGGCTTTGATGTTGGCAGCAGTTTTTATTAGAGCACATGTCTTTGTCATTTTAACCGCTCATGAAGTGTGGGCTGCACAAATGTCCTGCCTGTTCTGCGACACTGACTTAAGGCACATGACAGGTCTTTCTCCTGAGCTGCTATCCTTCTCTAGGATATCCACCTCCTGCTAATTCTTGATTCTTTCCACAGGTGGGTTGCACCTACTTCTTGTGGTTGGTAAGCTTACACAGACGGCTTAGTTTGTCTGGAGCAGAGAACACGCAAACATTTCTTTTTAGGGCTATCTTTTTCAAATGGTGTGAAATCAGACCAATGGTGAGTCTGATGCTGGGAAAATCAGTGTGATTCTATACGTACATCAGATTTCGCACCATTTGAAAAAAATAGCCCTGAGAGGAAATGTCCGCGCGGTGTTCTCTGCTCCAGACAAACTAAGCCGTCTATGTAAGCTTACCGACCTCAAGAAGGATGTGCAACCCACCTGTGGAAAGAAGCATGGAACTAAGTTTGTTGAATGCGCCCTAGCTGTTGTGTACGTGTTCCTGTTGTCGTGTGGCACGGTTTACATTGGGCAGACTGGTAGGTGTGTTAATGACCGCTTGCGCGAGCACTCTTGCAATGTAAAAAACAAGCTTTCTTCTGGTGGTTTTCTGGCTGTGCATTGTAATAGATGCACTCCATTCTTTGATCAGTGTGTCATCTTGGGCCGCAATCGTAACCAGTTGAGAAGGGAAATTATTGAGCTAAACGCTATAAAAAAATGGGCAAAGCTGTGCGTGAGTACGCCGTCTGTGGCCTTATCTCAAAGAGAGCTCAATTTCCTAGAGCGCGTGCTGTGAAGCATTAGTATAGAATTGATAATTTGTAATCAGGTAACAACTAGGTTTCCTTGATAGTGCGCTGTGCCACACGTGTGCGGTTTCGTCATGTCTGTGGCGTCACATGGAATGAGCTATATAATGTGTTGTAAGGGTACGCAATAAACAAAAGTTGGAAGTTAGCGCTCACACTGTCGTCTGTTTTATCCCCTTCTTAACTGCATAGTATGTTTTCTTCACGCTCAAACTGAGCTCTGCTGTAGCAATATCATTTTTTTTTCCTTTCAAAAGTCAGGGAAATGAACACTTTGGCCTGGATTTTGAGTTTCTTATATTCGCATGAGCACTACGCTCCCAATGCAAAAATTTCTTATGTTGCGATATGCCTCCCTTCATGTAGAAAGAAAAGGAAACAGGCTCCTCTCAAAAGTCAGGGAAATGAACACTTTCGCCTAAAGTACCTTTTATTGATGGAGCTGTCAAAATCCCTCTAGCTCCAAACTTCACCCACAAAGAATTGTGGTACAAGAAAGAAAAAAAAACTGAATGAATCGCAAACGAGGTACAATTAGCAGCTGCAAAAAAAGGATAAAACATCGTTGCTGTATCAATAGAGCCTTTTAAAATGTATTGAGGCTTCTCGAAATTTTATTGACAAGATACTGGAGGAGAACATACTGTCAGATGAAGAATTGGAACTTTTCCAAGCAATCGTTTTCTCCGGATATCCCAGAGCTTCTCAAACAACTCCGTGAAAAGGCAAATACCCCCCACAATAATTAAGAGTTTGCAAACACGCTGTACTGTTTTTCGCCAAGGGCTTATAATTGTGTGCGAGTGAAACGTTTAATTTCACTGCATGTTCACACTGGTTACTTCTGCTGTGAGACAACTGTGTAAACATATAATACGAATTGATGTCCCTGAGTACCTTTTCTTTAACACGCTTAAATTGCTAAGTGTGAAAAAAAATTAAAGCAGAAGTGCAATAAAGTCACTACCACATCCCGTCGCCTCTTAAGAATAATAAACAGGTGTTGTAGTAGCTATAATGAAATGCGCAGCCGCAAGCGCCCAGTGCATTAGAGCACTGGGTGCTACAAGGCAGTCGCCACCTCCTTCTGCTCTGAACAATAAGGCCGCCGCGGCTTCACTTCAATACATGGGTGGGTATGCGGGACTGCCACTCCAAAAATTTTAGTACTACAACCTCCTTGGTGCAACCACTGTGTCATCTTAGCAAAGCGTAAGAAACATTGCCTATTCATGCATGGCTTTGCATTGTCAGCGCAGCATGATAAACGCTACGGTCCTTAGAATTACTGTCGAATTTCATTAATTCGGACACGCTTAATTTGAACTTCCGGTTAATTCGAACTCACAATGAGGTCCTGTCAAAGCTATGTGTATATCAATAGGCGAAAACCCCTGGTAAGTCAAACGTGCAAGCACTTTTGATGGTTAATTCGAATATACTGCGCTCAGAAAATGCTCTCAGCACCCCGCCCAATCTCGCAGCGGCACCTCCGACACCTCAACACTGAGCGCGAAGGAAAGGTGGTGGTGGTAGTGGTCAGAAGAGGAGAAGGACACCTAATTTCTGCAGCCTGGTAGAGAGTATGGCGCAGTGCCTCGAAGGAAAGGAAAAGGAAAGAAAAGGTTGCGATGGAATGTTTGCTCTCTCTCAAATGGCGATTTGCAACGCGCCTGTGCACGCTTCTCCCCTTTCCGCCACTGCCACGTAAAGACTGTTCTCCTTCTAACGCCATGCGTAAAAAGAGAGAGAAAAAAGCTGTCGCGGGGTGTGGTTCTCTCTCATGCGCCGGTGCCACGCTTCCCCCTTTCCCGTCCCTGTCACATAACCCTTCTCCTTTCAACAAAGCGTGCAAAGAGAGCAAGAAAAAAAAAAGCTGCCATGAAGTGTTCGTTCTCTCTCAAATGCCGATCTGCTTCTTTGCACATATACATGCTCCTCTTTTCTCGTCACGTGTTGGCCACGCTGCAGCTTTCGCGGAGAGGGTAGTAACGGAGATGCAGTTGTTGTCGTCGTCTTTAGAGTGTGTCGGTGCTGGACATTGCCGCTCAACTTCTCTTGCCAGGAGAATGCCGTAGCCGAAGTAGACATGCTTTGCAAGCTGCATGCGAAATTGGTTGACTCGCTGCAAGGCAAACGTGTGCAGATGCGCATCACCGATTATTGCAATTAATGACGGATGTTCTGTAATTTGTGAATAAATGTAAGTCTTCTGAAACTTCCCCCTTGTTGGAAAAGAAAAAAAATAAATGTGTGCAGGCTAGTACGCAAGAGAAGAAGAAGAAATTGGAAACAAGAAACGGCGTTCGGTAGTTTTCCTTTACATCGTGGTGCCGAAATCCCTCGTGTGGACACGTCTCATTCATCGCACGACTGGAGGAGACCTTCTACTCGACCCCGTCGTTCTGCGGGTGGCCAGGATTGCAACGGATCGTTCCTGATCGGCGTAGACCAGACTAGACTTTAACACTGGATCCAATGAATCGCCTCAAGAACAAGCGCTCCGCTCGACGAGCCCGGAACACCAAGCTCCTGCAAGAAGCAAGGTTACTGCTAAGTGACCCTACCGCGGACAAGCCCAAGCTCACAGGTATTTATGACCGTTTGTCAGTGAGCAACAACGAGCTCTCAAAGATCAATGATGCGATCGAGGAGCACCTAGCGGACAAGGAGCTCGAAGCTGAGTATGTCGCGGGAGCAGAGTATAATGACAAAGCTATAAGCATGTTAGCTGAGATTCACTGCAAGATAGACGGTTTGCGACATGGAGACTGTACAGCGGCGGCTGCTCCTCAGAACGCAAACCCATCACCTTCTGATGTGCCGACCGCAATTGGCCCAAGGCTGCCGAACCTTGGCATGCCAACATTTAGAGGTGATATACATGAATGGTCGGCTTTCTGGGAGCAGTTTGAGCAAACTGTCCACCTTAACAACGCTTTGTCTACATCGACGAAGTTCTTCTATCTACTTCATTATCTTGCGGATGAAGCGGCAGCTGCGATATGTGGTTTTCCGACTTCCGAAGCCTGTTATGCAGACGCCATCAAGTTATTGAAGGAACGCTTCGGAGATCGAAAACTGATCAAGCAACACCACCTATCAGTGCTTCACAATCTACCTCACATCAAGTCGGGAAGCGACGTCCGCGGCCTTAGGCGACTTTGCGATGCTGTGCAGCTGAATATCCGTTGTCTAACTGCACTAAATGTTCCTACGCTTATCTTTTCTGCTATGCTGATTGATATTTTACAGAAAGCCCTACCATACAACATTATTTTGGCCTACACACGTGCAAAGCGCAGTCAGGCACTAAGAGAAAACGGGTCTGCTGCCAATGCCTTTGAGCCAAGCATGCAGCTGCTACATCTGATGCGGAGTTAAAGGAGCTGCTCACTTATACACGTATAGAGCTAGAAAGTTGGGAGCAGTGCAAGCCCTTTAATGACTGAGTGCTGAATGACTGTGCACGGAGGGCTCGAAGCAGCAGCACCAACATGGCTTCCGTGCTACACAACACATCGAGCAGCTGAGGTGAGTGTTTTTTCTGCAAGTCAAAGAAACATGGCACCCCCGCTTGTGACACGAACCTTGTCATCGATTTGAAAAAAGAAATGCTTGCGATAGACAATCACTGCTATCAATGCATTTCCCGAGGACATCAGGCACATTCATGCCGCGTCAAACTCATCTGCTCGAGTTGCCACGGGAGGCACGCATCAAGTATGTGCGACCCGCACTACACATCGAACCAATCAATGACACCTCTTTGTCCAGTTGACACCTCCGGCAGCACAGTCGGAATGGTGTCGTCAGAATCAGTTACGCTGTGTGACAAGGATTCACTGAGTGGGGGCACAACAAATCACAGTGAAGTATATCTACAAACGTTTCGCGGCTTTGTCATCAAAAACGGCAACACA